CACTGTAAAATCAATCGACAGTAAGGGGAATACTTACTTCCGGGTGTACAATTCTCCGTTATCCAATGGGAATGGACGCTCACATTGCCTTTAAGGGCAGCCGACACAAACGAATGCCGTGCTTCCATGAGCGTCAAATCCCGCTGCAGATGGGAATACATTGCAATCAGTTGAAAGCTATTTGCGTCCCTTTATGAAGCTGAAGGAGCCTAGGAGCGTCACAACTGCACGCCACGGACACTGACCAAACGTCGCTCCTGGACGATTATGGAGTGAGAGTGTGTTGTGCTGATCGACAGCTGGGACACAAACCACCAAATACAAAAACATAATTCAGATCCAGTCGTCATGACTCCACTCCGGAGGTATTCCCCGATCATTTCTTAGTTTCTCATCAAGGGGTACCGGTACAAACACACTGCCTGAGGAAAGCTATGTATATTATTTTTGTCATTAACCTTTTTCGGACCACTTATAATTTATTTTGTTGACGATCCGACCTCCATGCTGCTACTCTGGTTCAAACTGCATCCACCAAACAATATGATGTATCTCGACCTCCCCAAAATAATCAAAATCTGACACGGTGTGAGATGTCTTTTTTAGCTGTTCTGTCGTCATTTCCTGCGATCTTCTTCCTGCAGTCAGTCAAAATGAATCAATGAATGGGCGTTTCTTTGACTATTTATAGGAAAATATGGGCGTTACGTGAAGCCCGCAAAAGCTGCACCGCATTTCGAGTCGATTATGATTTATAAAGGGAAAACGAAGTGTCGTACGCACTTTCCTCGCCGGTACGCAATGTTTTGTGAATCGGAAAATGTCGGAACATTTATGTACCTATTTTTTGTAGGCAACCTTCCAACGTGAATCCTACGCACATCGTTATAAATGAGGCCCCTGAGCTGTAGTTATCAGCCTCTCAGTCTGACAGCAGAGGACTCTCCCCCCACCTTGTTGTTGAAACCAAGGCCGTATCCACCATTGAGGTCACCGAGGTCCGGACCTCGGTAATTTTTTTCGAGCTGTGTATATAACTAAATTTGTGAAATAATTGCACTAAATGGGATTCTTTGTAGTACTTCCATTTACTGACGATGGGGGCGCTGCATAAGTACGTAGCCTCGGTTAAAGCAAACAGAAGAAGACGACATGTATCAACCAACCACCGCAGCCCGGACTTGTACCGGAGCAGCGGAGGAGTGATGAGGTATCTAGAGATCTGAGTACAGCGGGCTGCTTGTGTTTCTGTTCCTCAGGACATCATATGAGCAGCAGACCCTGTGTGAACGCTCTACAGTGGACGTCCGACAACATGCACACTAACTTATATTGCAGCTATAGGCTATACTTTGGTTTAAATTGCGTGAATAAACTAGCTAGGGAGCGAAAGTTAATTCTTTCACACACACATACGGGTATTGGGCCAAGGGCGACACGTACTTCCGGTATCCGCCATTTTACGCGAGGTGCAAGCAGGCCGAGGGTTTAGCCGTACACCGTCTAGGTGTTGCTATGCTTCCTGTACTGAATATCATAGTCTATTGCCTTAATCAATATCTAGTCAACTCTAAAATACCACATATATGCAATGGCATAATAATATTATTTTGACAAGTGGGGTATTCACCTGGTGTTTCCAGAAATTAGACGTAGATGCAGCCAAAATCGACGAAGGCCACTTTCGAGGGTCGTTTTTCCATACATCTGCAGGCAGTCTATGTAAGGGCAATCCGACAACCCACACAGCTCTAATTTACGCTGGTAACGACCTAGAGCACACCCCTCAAGTCCAGAGATGTAATCCGAAGACATGCAGCGATTTCTTCGGTCGTTAATTCAGAAAAAAAACCTAGTGCACTCTGCCTGGCTACGTTAGCTAGCTGTTTATATTTGCACCTCCAGGATATTTGCACCTCCAGGAAAATGGCGTATTTATATATATATATGGCGCGCGTTGCATTGTGGGTAGCTTGTGACGTCACTGTGTGTGAAAGAATTACATTCATCCAATGTCAGAAGGATTACCTTTTAACAAACATTGTAATGCTTTTCTTTCATTTCAATTTGAGTAAAACATTGGAGATATAACATTGTGTTGTTTTCTTTTTACACTGACTTAGATATAATGAAAATACTACGTCAGTCGAAGCTCAGCTTTGGTAAGGAAGAGACAGGACAGGCAGAGAGAAAGAGAAAGAGAGAGAAAGTGATGGAAGTCAGGGAGGAACTGCAGGTACAGTCACACAAAAATAATGTAGGCTTAATAACCCCATCTATCCATCTATACATCTATCTATCTATACATCTATAACAATAGTCTTCATTTACAATATAGACAATAGTCATAATTGTAAAACAACGTACATCTATTGCAGTTATGATGTCATAATAACATACAATTGTATAAAACACAATTTGCTTACATCTTTGTTCTCTTTGAGAATCAAACAAAACAGATTTAAAAAAAAAAGAATGCAAACAAACAAGTGAAATGAACTAAATGGCTGAATTGCTTTTAATTCACTGGCAGGAGCGACAAGTGAGGAGGAGCAAACAGTGAACAACGAGTGAGAGATAGAACAAAGAGAAAGAGTAGAGGACAGAGAGAGTAATGAACAGGAAGAAGACAGAGAGACTCAAGAAGATGGAAGAGAGGCTGCAGGTTATGGAAAGGAGAGAGACATGGAAAATGAATGTTGACAATGTTCTGTGATCATTTTAGCCTCTTCTGCATGTCCCGGGGCCTGTACTACGAAGCTGGTTCAACCTAACCTGGAGTTTGAGTTAGCCGGTTGGCCTAATCCAAAACATACGCGCTCTCGCTAAACGGTACTACGACGCAGTTTATCAAGTGGATCGCTCAAGCCAGCCGTGTCCAACTAGTTAGGTGCGCGTTCACATGAAAGGGGTGGTATTTGGAGCATTCGACCAATCACAAACATGGAGAAGCATACTGACAGCGCAGCATCATACTTTCTGAATGAAAAGTAAACTATAATATTAGACAAATATGAAGAAGTTAAACTTTAAACATCCATGACTTAAACACTTTATCCAGGATAAAAGCCACATAGCTGCACCTGCAAGGTGAATACAGCTGGCAAAAGAAAAAGTGTTTGAATGCGTACATTAACAGGTTTATGATATCACTGCCCCGTCCAAGACACGAGTGGATCTGACTTTAATTAAATTTGTCTCGAGTGTTTCGTCAACTTAATGTGTTGCTTAAAATAATACTTCTGCATACAGTATGTGACACTGTGAGTGTTGCACGGCCAGATACGGCTCAGCTGACTCAGATAAGGAAATATATGATACATTATGAAGTGATATGCCGCGGACTGTACTTAATGTTACTCTGATCCGGTTACTTATGTTGTGGCAGATATTTAAGTAAGCTTTCTTAACGCTAATGTTATAATAGTCAGATTGCTCTGAAGATGGGAGGTGATATTCTATTAATGTTCACGTTCACACAGTCTGTGATTTTTGGCGGCCGTCTTTCCTGCAACGGCAGCTTTTCTGTATTTCCTTTCTCCTGTAATATGACTTGATCGCTTTAAACTCCGCACACTGAGCTCTGATTGGTCAGCAGGCAGTGCTTTCACTGAGTTGAGCTCTTAGCCTGCAACCTAACCTGGTCCCGACCAGGTTAGCCGCTAAGCATAAGTTACCATGGAGATCTAGCCTGCTAAAAAGAGAACCAGCTTCGTAGGACCGGAAAGCCGGAGTTTTCCCTGAATTTAGCCGGCTAAGCGAAAATCCTGCTTCGTAGTATACCCCCCAGATCATTAATAGTAATAATCAACTGATTCTTATGTATTACACTTTCAAAAATAATTTATGCTGACATTGTCAGCCCACTCACATGGTTTGAAATCAATATATTATCCAATGTGTGACCCTCCACAGGACTTAAAAAGCACCTAACTAGATCATGAAAATCCCCCAAATCTCGGGGGGTATCCCCCGAACCCCCCTAACATATTTGGACCTCGGTATTTAGGAAATCCTGGATACGTCCCTGGTTGAAACAGCTCCTTATATCCGTTAGCGCAGCTAGCTAGCACCAGATGCTAACAACAACAATACACGTAAGCGGTGCACACGCTTTCTCTCTCGCTCGCTCGCTCGCGCCACACATACACACACACACACACACACCCTCCCGAGCTTGAATGACACACAGAGACCAATCGAGGGCATTAGTGTATGATCTGTATGAAAGTGGCCATGTCGTTAGGCCACATCATGTAGACAGCCAGTCACCCTCTGTGAGGCAGAGTCAGACCCACATTTGCGCAGCGTTGTGTTCACAATACATACTGTCACGGAGGTGATCTCTGGGCTCATAGATCTCGGCCTCCGTTACGGGTTGTTTAGTTTTTTATTGTTGAAAAGTGTTCCCCTTTCCCCATGTCTGTCGTTGATTGTGTGCACCTGGTGGTGCCCTGTGTTGTCTCCTCCCCCCTCACTTGTGTCCTGTTGGGTTGATTGGGTTGGGCATTTAGGCTTTGGGGTTTTGCTGTTAGTGAGGCTGGTAGTGTGTGTGAGATCCTGGTGGCTGCAGGCTGTGCCTACGTGAACAGCAGCAGCAGGATTGAGGCTGTGTGTATTGTGTTCATGCTGTAATAAATGCCCACACCGGGTTATATTTGGGACGTGCTGCCTCTGCCTCCTTGCTTGGTCTGGGCTGATCAATTGTCAGCATCACAATTGGTGTCAGAAGTGGGATTTGACCAAGTGAGGAGGTGAGAGTGATGGAGGAACTGCGGGAGATGTTGAGGTCACTCCTGCAGTTCGCACAGGAAGAGGAACGGAGACTCCGGAGGCAAGACGGCAGATTGGCTGGAGTCTCGACGGGCGCTGGCTCTGCCGCTGAGGCATCAGAGATCCTGGCGGAGAACCGGAGATTGGTGCAAGAGCAGAAAGAGGAGCAGCTCCGGTTACAGAGGGAAGAAGAGAGGAAGGCAGAAGCATCAAGAACGGTTGGAAAGATGGCGGCGCACACGCAGAAGAATAACAAGCCAAGGAAACTTGGAGGAAAGGAGTCGTCGCAGCCTTTGATCATTGCCAAAACTCCGGAGTTCGTCAGGGATGTGATGGGTTCCGGCGCCAGTGAGGGCAGCGGGGAGTTCCACGTTTGTCGGCGCCTCCGACGCGGGGAGTACCAAGGGCGGGACTTTCTGGACAGGATGTCGGAGAAAGTGAATGAGGATATCGAGTGTCTCGATGAAGTGGAGCTGAGCAAACGGGCGGCCGGTGATGGAGCAGCGGGGAGCGGGAGGAAGCGAAAAAGACTGACGCGCAAGATGCGGATGGCAAAGATAGCCGAGAAGGTCCGTCAGGAGAGAGAGCGCATCAGAGAGCAGAACCAGCAGGAGCGCATGGAGAGGAAGAATCAGATCCAGAAGAGAAAGAAAGGGAAGCTTCCTTCTGACTACACGCCCTCCCCTGAGGAAACCAAGCTGCACAAGGGGAAGCAGAAACCTTGTAGGGAAGCCAAGATTTCCAAGACACTGTGCTTCCAGGGGAGAGGGGTAAGGAAATGTCACGGAGGTGATCTCTGGGCTCATAGATCTCGGCCTCCGTTAGGGGTTGTTTAGTTTTTTTTTGTTGAAAAGTGTTCCCCTTTCCCCATGTCTGTCGTTGATTGTGTGCACCTGGTGCCCTGTGTTGTCTCCTCCCCCCTCACCTGTGTCCTGTTGGGTTGATTGGGTTGGGCATTTAGGCTTTGGGGTTTTGCTGTTAGTGAGGCTGGTAGTGTGTGTGAGATCCTGGTGGCTGCAGGCTGTGCCCACGTGAACAGCAGCAGCAGGATTGAGGCTGTGTGTATTGTGTTCATGCTGTAATAAATGCCCACACCGGGTTATATTTGGGACGTGCTGCCTCTGCCTCCTTGCTTAGTCTGGGCCGCTCAATTGTCAGCATCACACATACGTATAAAAAAAATCCTCAGGCCAGCAGGCCACTTAGCAGGCCAGGCCATCGGGAAACCTCCCGGTCCTCCCGATGGCCAGTCCGGGCCTGGACTTGTAAAAGTCTCCTGTTTGAATGTTGAGAGCAGAGGGCTCGTTAACCGAATATTTTCCGTCTATGAGGGATTCTTTTTAACAATGACGGAAAAATCTGAAAGCAGTCCTTCATTTTGACGGATTAGAACAAACTCGGAACAGCGATAAAGTTTCCCCGCAGCGAGGCTCCCGTGTTATGCCATGTTATGCATGCCCTCCAAAAAGGAAATTATACCGTTTACAAACCTTGGCTTTACGCTGTGCGCGCTCCCACGAGGTGCAGTGGTCATGCATAACACGGCGCCCCCACCCCCCCCATTGACAGTTCACAAGCATGCCCCCCCCCCCTCGTCAGAGTTGTGTGAAAGCCGACGGGTAATTCTGGATTTTGATGGAAATGTTACGATCCCGTCCGTCAAAATGACGGGCAGCGAAAAAGTCTAGCGCAACCTCTGGTTGAGAGATAAACTGCTGTGTGTGTGTGTATGTGTGTGTGTGTATGTGTGTGTGCGGTTCAGAAGTGGTCTCAGTGTCCTGGGGGCTGGGGAGGTTTGAATGTCAGTTTCTCTAATAACGGGAATCGGTGAAAAGGTCACCCCAAGTCGCCTGACCACACTGAGGGGACGGTGTGTGTGTTGTTTGCAAAAGCATGTGTGTTTCATATTCTTATTCCAATGTGAAAAGGTGTGTGTGTGTGTGTGTGTGTGTGGGCAGAGAAGGGGGCGTCGGCCAGGCCTGGGGCAGAAATTGATTCCCTGACAAGGAGAGGCCCCCAAGGTCGGCAAGGAAGGGAAGTGGAAGGAGGAGGGAGAGGACAGCAAGAAGATGGAGGCCATATTGGTAGAAGAAGAGGAGAGGAGTTAAAGAATTAGACAACAGAGTGGTGGAGTGATGCCATATATTTAGGCTGACCAGGAAGTCAGCCTCACAAGGGCTCCCTTGACAAAAAGCAATGGGATTTACCCATTGGATTTCCGTTTATTGCAGAAAAAAAGCTTTGTGTCACGTTGATAATCTCCACATATTAACTCCACTTTAGATTTTTTAAGTGTAAATGCATCTGCAATATTTAAGCTTGCGTAATGCCATATACGAACTACAGGATGAGGTTAAGTAGTTTTAATTAGCCACTGGTTTATCAACCGCTGTTTTTATGACACATAGAATGTCAAGGATGAGCAAAGCAGGCAGGACCCAAATGCAGATTTCTCAGAAAAAACACCTTTATTTCAAGGCTAAAATGAAACAAACTAGGACAAAACAGAACTCTCACCCTGTGAACAACGTCCAACTACAACAAGGAACTAACAAAGACTAACAGAAAACACAGAACCTAAATGCACACATGACTAATCAAACAAACAAGAGACAGGTGAGGAGGGAGGAGAAAACACAGGGGCACCAGGTGAACACAATCGGGTAATCAGGGAGGGAAAACAGACAGAAACCAACAGGCAAAACAGGAGGTGAACACTTTACAAAATAGAACAGGAAACCAAAGACAGAAAAAGACAAGACAAAACACAACACAGACAGATCGTGACAGTACCCCCCCCTCAAGGGACGGATCCCAGACCTCCCAAAAAAAGTCCAGCAGGGTGGGTGGAGGGGGACCGGAGGAGGGACACAAAACTAGGGCCAACAGGGTGGGTGGAGGGGGTCTGGAGGACGGGTTTGGGCTGACAGCCCAGGGGCACAGCGGAGGACCCGGAAGGGGTCTCGGGCGGACGGCCCGGGGGCAAGGCAGAGTTCAAAAAGGGGGACTCGGGCGGACGGCCCGGGGGCAAGGCAGAGTTCAAGGATGGGGTCTCGGGCGGACAGCCCGGGGCAAGGCAGAGTTCAAAAAGGGAGACTGGGGGCCGGGCCCGAGGGCGAAGACCGCGGCTCTCAGGAGGCCGGGCTGGAGGGCGAAGACCAGACAGCTCCGGAGGCCGGGCAGGAAAGCGCTGACGGGACAGCTCCAGAGGCCGGGAAGGACCCGGTGTCGGCCGGACAGGAACCGGAACCGGTGGGATAGGCTTCGGCAGGATCCCCAACGGAAGAGGACCAGGAGTTGGCAGGACCCCCGGCGAGACAGGTGACGGCGGGACCTCCAACGGAACAAGACATGGGATTGGCAGGACCCCCGGCAGAAGAGTCGTCGGCGGGACCCCCAACGGGACAGGACACAGGGTTGGCAGGACCCCCGGCAGGAGAGTAGTCGACGGGACCCCCAATGGGACAGGACATGGAGCAGGCAGGAACCCCAGCAGAACCTCCAACGTGACAGGACATAGGGTTGGCAGGACCCCCGGCAGAAGAGTCGTCGGCGGGACCCCCAACGGGACAGGACACAGGGTTGGCAGGACCTCCAGTGGAACCTCCAACGGCACGGACATAGGATTGGCAGGACCCCCGGCAGAGGAGTAGTTGGCGGGGCCTCCAACGGCACAGGACATAGGGTTGGCAAGACCCCCGGCAGAGGAGTAGTCGGCGGGGCCTCCAACGGGACAGGACATATGGAGTTGGCAGGACCCCCAGCGGAACCTTCAACGGACCAGGACATTGGGTAGGGACTTGAGACGTGACTCGAAGGGGGAACTAGGGAGGGGACTCGAGAGGGGACTCGAGAGGAGACTCGAGAGGGGAACCGAGGGGGAACTAGAGAGGGAGACTAGAGGTGGGACTAGAGGAGAGAGGAGGGACTAGAGGAGGAGCTAGAGGAGGGACTAGACGAGGGACTTGAGAAGGAAACTCGAGAGGTGACTCGAGAGGGGACTCGAGAGGGGACTGGAGAGGGGACTAGAGAATTGACTAGGGACTTGAGAAGGGAATTGAGTAGGGACTAGAGATGGGACTAGAGATGGGACTAGAGATGGGACTAGAGAAGGGACTTGGGAAGGGACTAGAGGAGGGACTCGGGAAGGGACCAGAGGAGGGACTAGAGAGGTGATCTGAAAGGAGGCTTGAGAGGGAACTCGAGGGGGAACTTGAGAGGAGACTCGAGAGGTGACTTGAAAGGAGACTCGAGAGGGAACTTGAGAGGAGACTTGAGAGGGAACTCGAGGGGTGACTTGAGAGGGGACTCGAGGGGGAACTTGAGAGGAGACTCAAGAGGTGACTTGAAAGGAGACTCGAGAGGGAACTCGAGAGGGAGCTGGAGATGTGGCTTGAGAGGGGACTTGAGAATGAACTTGAGAGGAAACTTGAGACGGTCGGTTCGCCAACAGAACACGGGGGGCTGGAGTCGGCCTGAATGCCGACAGGGCACGGGGAGCTAGCGTCGGCCGGTTCGCCGACAGGACACGGGGAGCTGGCGTCGGCCGGAGACGAGGGGCTGGAGTCGAAAAATGGCTGCTGGGGCCAGGACTGAGGCTGGAACCATGGCTGCTGGGGACAGAACTGGGGCCGGAACCATGGCTGCTGGGGCCAGAACTGGGGCTGGAACCATGGCTGCAGGGGCCTGAACTGGGGGCTGGGGCCAGAACTGGGGCTGAAACCGTGGCTGCTGGGGCCGAAGCAAGGGTTGACTCCAGACGGAACACACCGATGTGTGTGGTGTCATAATGGGAATTGGGAAGCAGGGAGCCAGCATGGCTGGGGCTAGCAGGCAGGGGATAACACACCGAGAGGAAATCCAAAATTCAGCCAGGTAAGAATTTCACTAAGCCTGGCTTCTCCGTAGCCATCTGGCGCGCCTCTGCCAGAGCTGCCTCTCGCTGCTGAACCCCGGACGCTCCCCTCCATCGATCAGAGCAGTTAGCCAAAAAAAAGGAAAAATCCAATAATTCCTGCTCAAAAGGATCTGCTGGGCCCATTTTGGTTAATTCCTTCTGTCAAGAATGAGCGAAGCAGGCTTTATTTCAAGGCTAAAATGAAACAAACTAGGACAAAACAGAACTCTCACCCTGTGAACAACGTCCAACTACAACAAGGAACTAACAGAAAACACAGAACCTAAATGCACACATGACTAATCAAACAAACAAGAGACAGGTGAGGAGGGAGGAGAAAACACAGGGGCACCAGGTGAACACAATCGGGTAATCAGGGAGGGAAAATAGACATAAACCAACAGGCAAAACAGGAGGTGAACACTTTACAAAATAAAACAGGAAACCAAAGACAGAAAAAGACAAGACAAAACACAACACAGACATAGAAGCTTCAGACATTTAGGATTGGAGTATTTACTGACATATTTTATGTCATACAACAAAACTTAGAAATCTCTTCCACTTGTTTTAACAAAATAACTTATTTCTGGCTTCTAACTACAAAACATGTTAAAACAAATTTGACTTCAGGAAGAGAAAACGGGAATTGCTGAAATGCCAAGACTTTTCCGGGGTTTAGGATTCATTTCTGCACCACTGCATAGAGTAATATAAGTAAACAGTAAAATACAATAATGAGAGGGGAAGGCTGTTAAAGGGAGGGAAAGTGTCAAGGAGGAGGTTATAGGAGATAGAGAGAGAAAAGCATAAAATAAATAAAATAGGAGAAAAAGATTTGTAGACAATGTAAGGAAACAGGTGAAGCAAGGG